ACAGAATTGTTACTCAGGGACACAGAATTGTTACTCAGGGACACAGAATTGTTACTGAGGGACACAGAATTGTTACTGAGGGACACAGAATTGTTACTCAGGGACACAGAATTGTTACTCAGGGACACAGAATTGTTACTCAGGGACAGACACAGAATTGTTACTGAGGGACACAGAATTGTTACTCAGGGACACAGAATCGTTTAATTAAAGAGTATGTCAGACAACATGCAGAGGAGTGGCAGAGGAGGCAATGTTTTAGGAGCGAGCAGACGTGGCAGCAGAGGAAGGGGTCGAGGCAGCACTAGTCGCAGCCAGAGGCCATTGCTCCCGGTGTCATCCAGCGGTCGTGTCTCCACCGACAACCCTGCCGTCATCGATTGTTGTTGGCTCGGTCGTCTTCCTCTTCCCAGGTCACCTCTGACACCTACAGCCAACGGTCGGTGGGTATGTCAGACACAACCGTTAGTTGGCATGGCCCGGGAGCAAGCCCACTGAAATCACGTGTCCTCGACCTGCCCCTGTCCTTTGGTGTTCCCTCACCAAGCGAAGTATCGCATGCTGTGGGCTCAGCCCCACTGTACAGTGAGGAAGAGCTAACAGAGGGCGGTCAGGAACGGGGGGAGACATCCGCCTCTTCAGCAGCCAGGCGAAGAAGTAGTGGCGAGGAGAGTGGCTCGGTAGCCGGTCTAGAGACAGGTCTGTCTCCTGACCCACACGCAGCCGAGGGGGCTAGTAGTGAGGCGGAGACCCTAATTGATGATGATGAGGCTGATCGCACTTGGCAGCCTCGTCGTCATCAGGCTATTGCTTCCGCATCATCAGGAGAAGAGGGTGGCAGCTTGGCAGCGAGCAAAACAGTCGGTGGGTTGCCCAGGAGGCAGCAGCAGGGTCGCAGCAGTGTCAGTGGAGGCAAACGGCCACGGAGTAGAGCACCAGCTCCACTGCAGCCTACCACCACGGCCAGTAGTAGTGGTGCCGGTGTGCACGGAGGAAGTAGCAGTCAGCCAGTGAGGAGTAGCGGGGGCAAAGTTTCCTACTCGGCGGTGTGGCAATTTTTCGTCAAGCCGCCCGAGGAAGTAAACGTAGCCGTATGTCGACTATGTGGCCAGAAAGTCAAGCGTGGCCAGGGGGCCCATGTTGGGACTACAGCGTTGCGGCAGCATATGCAGCGTCGCCATTTGGTGGCCTGGGAAAACCGTGATAAAGATACGGCGGTTCTGCCTGCCCCAGCCCCCGCTCCATCACCCGCTCCGTTACTTGCTCCGTCACCCGACGTCAATCGCCCTCTGTCAGCCAGTCAAGGCTCCAACACCTCTGCTGAGGGGAGTTGTCGCTCGTTGGCATCTTCCGCTCGTTCAGATGCTCCTTCTCCTGCTACTCCTCTTCACGGATTCCGTCAGCAGTCTTCTTGGAATCCGTTTCCAAGAGACAACAGTTTGCGAGCACGCACCCGACGGTGCAAAAGCTGAACGTCCTCCTGTCCAAGTTGCTGGTGCTGCAGTCCCTCCCTTTCCAAGTGGTGGACTCAGCACCTTTCCGAGAAATGATGGCTTGTGCCGCGCCGCGGTGGAGAGTGCCAAGCCGTCATTTCTTTCGCCAAAAAGGCAGTGCCAGCCCTGCATTCACATGTAGAAGAGATGGTGGGCCAGTCTTTGAGCATGTCGGTCTCTGCCAAAGTGCACGTGCACGGCAGCGCCGACGTGTGGAGCTGTAACTACGGTCAGGGACAGTACATGTCATTTACGGCCCACTGGGTGAACGTGGTGCCGTCACAGCCGCACCAGCAACTTGGACAGTCACGCCGCTTTTGCCTCCACGTTTGCACGTCCTTGGTCCACAAAAGAAGTCCGCCTCTACCACCTCTTCTTCCGCCGTGTCCTCAGCCGCCACCCCCCCCCCGTGCCAAGTCCCATTACCCGACCGGCATATCACATGTGCAGGGCGCAACGGTGTCACGCTGTGCTGCACCTGGTATGCCTTGGCGAACGTAGTCACACAGGGGAGGAACTTCTCAGTGTAATGAACAGAGAAATCGACAGATGGCTGTCTCCGCGCAAACTGAAAATCGGAACCATGTTGACCGACAACGGAAAGAACATGGTGTCTGCTCTGCGTCAAGGAAGGTTTGTGCCATGCGCCATGCATGGCTCACGTGTTCAATCTGGTTGTCAAGCGGTTCCTAAAATCCACCATCCCACTGCAAGACATCCTTAAAATGTCACGTAAACTTTGCATGCATTTCAGCCATTCCTACACCGCAAAGCACACCCTCCTTGAGCTGCAGCGCGGAACGGAATTCCACAGCATCGCCTGATCTGCGACGTTGCAACAAGGTGGAATTCAACCCTACACATGTTAGACCGCCTTTACGAACAGCGAAAGGCCATCACCGATTTCCTGATGTTACAAGCGGATAAAGGTACTCCCCTGTGTAACTTCGATGTCAGCCATTGGCAGCTCATGCGTGACACCTGCCGCTTTCTCAGGCCCTTTGAGGAGGCCACGCTATTCGTGAGTCGGCAGGACTATGGGATGAACGACGTCATTCCTCTGTTGCACGTCCTGGAACAAATGCTGTTAACAATGGCTGGTCAGGGTGCGGTAGACGTGGCGCACAGATCTCAACGCCACATGACCCCTGTGGGGGCAGGACAGGAAGAAGAGGAGGAGGTAGAGGAGGACATTTGTGCTCAGGAATTATTGAGTGAAATGGGTGGTTTTTCCACTCAGCGGACAGGAGTGGAGGAGCAGGAGCATCTGGTAGAGGAGGAGGAGGAGCCAGACAGAGGACCCAGACGCACCGTGGCAGTATGCTGTGGAGATGGAGGCAGGGAGTCCCTCGCATTCCTTGGCACAAATGGCCCATAGCATGCTCGGTTGCTTGCGTAGCGACAGCCGAATAATAACCATCAGACAGAGGGATGACTTTTGGCTGTCCACCTTGTTGGACCCTCGCTACCGTTCAAAAATGGTGGCCTTTTTCACACCTGCTGAGAGGGAGGCCAAAATAACGTACTATAAAAACCACCTATGTAGTCAGTTGGTCTCTGCCTTTGTGCGCCAACGTCCATCCTCAGACACTGTGGGCCCTGTGCGCTCGCGTTCCGCTGCCATGGCAGCAGGGGAGGGGTGGGGTGGTAGGAGCAGTGGCAGCTCCACCAGCAGCGGCTGCCTCAGTCTGCAGTCGATGATGAGTAGCTTTCTTCACCAGCGCAGTGAGGAAACTACTAACCAGCCGCAGCAGCAGCAGCATCAGGTGGACCTGGAGCAGGACCTCAAACAACAGGCTTGGGCCTACTTGGACAGCACCCTGCCAACCGAGGTAGACAATCCCCTTGACTACTGGGCAACGAAACTTGACCTTTGGCCCCAACTAGCTGAATTTGCCCTTGAAAGGCTGTCATGCCCGGCCAGTAGCGTGGCATCGGAGCGCGTGTTTAGTGCGGCAGGAGGTATTGTAACTCCGCAGAGGACACGACTGTCCACCCAAAGTGTGGAGATACTCACGTTTGTGAAAAAATGAATCAGGCGTGGATTAGTCTGGATTTCAAACCACCAGTTCCTGACACAACTGACTAAATCCGCCATGAATCATGCCCCAAACATGTGCCACTTTCAGGTCTCCTCACACTGCTGGTGTGTTCCATTTTTTGTCATAGGGTGCTGGCAGATTACGGGCCTCCCATAGCTGCTGCCAGGCCCCTAATCTGCCATGGGCCCCTGTACCGCCTCCTCATGCTGCTGCCAGGTCCAGAGTCTCTCATGGGTCCCTGTACGGCCTCCCATTGCTGCTGCCAGGAGGCAGCAGGGTCGCAGCAGTGTCAGTGGAGGCAAACGGCCACGGAGTAGAGCACCAGCTCCACTGCAGCCTACCACCCGTAATCAGTAGTGGTGCCGGTGTGCACGGAGGAAGTAGCAGTCAGCCAGTGAGGAGTAGCGGGGGCAAAGTTTCCTACTCGGCGGTGTGTGGCAATTTTTCGTCAAGCCGCCCGAGGAAGTTAAACGTAGCCGTATGTCGACTGCTGGCCAGAAAGTCAAGCGTGGCCAGGGGGCCCATGTTGGGACTACAGCGTTGCGGCAGCATATGCAGCGTCGCCATTCGGTGGCCTCGGAAAACCGTGATAAAGATACGGCGGTTCTGCCTGCCCCACCCAGGGTTCCATTTTGTCATAGGGTGCTGGCAGATTACGAGCCTCCCATTGCTGCTGCCAGGCCTTAATCTGCCATGGGCCCCTGTACCCCGCCTCCTCATGCTGCTGCCAGTTCCACAGTGTCTCATGGGTCCCTGTACCGCCTCCCATTGCTGCTGTCTCCATCGCCACACTCTGCCATGTGCCACTTTCAGGTCTCCTCACACTGCTGGTGTGTTCCATTTTTTGTCATAGGGTGCTGGCAGATTACGGGCCTCCCATTGCTGCTGCCAGGCCCGTAATCTGCCATGGGCCCCCGTACCACCTCCTCATGCTGCTGCCAGGTCCAGAGTCTCTCATGGGTCCCTGTACGGCCTCCCATTGCTGCTGTCTCCATCGCCACACTCTGCCATGTGCCACTTTCAGGTCTCCTCACACTGCTGGTGGGTTACATTTTTTGTCATAGGGTGCTGGCAGATTACGGGCCTCCCATTGCTGCTGCCAGGCCCGTAATCTGCCATGGGCCCCCGTACCGACTCCTCATGCTGCTGCCAGGCCCGTAATCTGTCATGGGCCCCTGTTGTCGCTTGTTGGCATATTCCGCTCGTTCAGATGCTCCTTCTCCTGCTACTCCTCTTCACGGATTCCGTCAGCAGTCTTTCTTGGAATCCGTTTCCAAGAGACAACAGTTTGCGAGCACGCACCCGACGGTGCAGAAGCTGAACGTCCTCTTGTCCAAGTTGCTGCTGCCAGGCTCGTAATCTGTCATGCGCCCCTGTACCGCCTCCTCATGCTGCTGCCAGGTCCAGAGTGTGTCATGGGCCTCCGTACCGACTCCTCATGCTGCTGCCAGGCCCGTAATCTGTCATGGGCCCCTGTACCGCCTCCTCATGCTGCTGCCAGGTCCAGAGTGTGTCATGGGTCCCTGTACAGCCTCCCATTGCTGCTGCCAGGCCCGTAATCTGCCATGGGCCCCCGTACCAACTCCTCATGCTGCTGCCAGGCCCGTAATCTGTCATGGGCCCCTGTACCGCCTCCTCATGCTGCTGCCAGGTCCAGAGTGTGTCATGGGTCCCTGTACGGCCTCCCATTGCTGCTGTCTCCATCGCCACACTCTGCCATGTGCCACTTTCAGGTCTCCTCACACTGCTGGTGGGTTCCATTTTGTCATAGGGTGCTGTATGGCCTCCCATTGCTGCTGCCTCCACTGCCACACTGTGGCTCCACACACTGGTTTTGGCCCCGTGACTGCCCAAATGAGTGAAGTGTGCGGTGATTCTAAGATCGACGGCACTCATCTGCATGTCATACTGACTGACAGTATTATTTCTCTTCCCCAGCAGACTCCAAGGGCATTTAAATTAAAGGTACAGTGTTCTGCACTAATATAAAGGCTCTCTGAAGCCTAGAAACACCCTTTTATAAGTTAAATTCGCAGCGAATATATTCAACTCGAATCGAAATTTTTTCACGAATTCGCCGAATCAGTCGAATCGAATTTTTGAATAATTCGCTCATCTCTAGTAATCTGCAATATAATACATTTTTGGTGTTGGCTTTAATTCCGCTTTAATTGTTAATGGCACCGCCAAATGCAGCCAGAATACCTTTTTCGCATTTTTCTGTCAGCTCAACCGCACAAAGCTCAAAGCACAAAAAGGCGCAGAAGCTTTTGGCATATTTGTTGCATTTAGGGCAGCCTAGTCAACTTAATGGGTTGCCCTATGCATGTCAAGTGAAGAAGTGCAGACATGAATGGGGCCTTACTCTCAATTTACTAAAGAAGTGGAGTACGTTCACTTAACTTGGTGAATGTGTTGAAAATTTACTTTACAAAGAATATCCTCATCAAGGAAAATAAAGAAATAGGACTTTTGCTTGCACATGTTAGCAGGACCAAGGTCAGTACAACTGTACCACATTACTAAGCTAAATGGAAATTCTCTGGCAAAGTGAAAGTTCACTTTACTGAGTAAATAGCTTATACTTCTTTAGTAAAATAATCCCAATTTGTCCATCCTGCTAAGATTGTTACCATGCTTATTCTGTTGTTAATTAATAATATTTGTTTGAGCTTGTATATGCTCTGTCTCTTTATTCAGCTCTTATGAAGTCATATAACATCTGCATATGAAGGAGTGGTATGCATCTCTGTAGTGCCTTTAGCTATCACACATCTAAAATAGAGATAAAAAATTGAGAACAAAATTTGAAAAAAAATAAAAATTCTATTTGGCTACTATAGGTAATACCTCCAATTTTATGTTAATTTTCTCTAGTTTTAATGCATCGCCTCTGTAGTGTATTTGATCATAATTGTATATTTTATATTGTGAGTATCACTAGTCTGTGCACAACAAGCACAGTTCATCGGCACCTTCTGGCTGTTTGTGGAGGAAGAGCAGTATCTAGGCTAATGAACCGAACTGCTATTGCTTGTACCTAATTAAGCAAATGATGCATGCAACAGGGCCATGTAGTCTACAAGACTTTCAGCAGCTGGATGGTACACTAGGAAAGTAGATGGTCTCAGCATTATCAGCAATTCAGCAGCTCTAGGATTAATGATTATTTTATTAGTTCGGGTTTCTTTTAAAGACACAGAATACACGTTCACTGCAAATGTGCCACTTTGATTCCTTCTCTGTTACTCTTTAGGGCAGGAATCATAAAGGTATTCTCTTTAGGGGTCCTTTTTCACCCGCATTCATTTTTTTTTCATCAGTTCAGTCATGTTTTTTCAAATTAAAAATGGATCTGTTTTTATTCAGTTTTTACATAAGTTTTTTACATCCACTACCAATACAAAAACAGATTATTTGTCAGTTTACATTGTTTTTTTTTTGCCTGTTCTGATTTTTTAACAAAAGAAAAACTGGGCTTTGATCCATTTCAAAAAATGAATGTTGATGGATGTGGATGTAAAAGGATCATCTGTTTACATCTGTTTTTTCCATAGAAATGCATTGAATATTGAATATTGAGTGTAGGTAACCAAAGTCCCTCAGCAACTGAAAAACATCCACCACCCCTGTAGAGTAAGATATGTATTAGAACCAGTGCTTGAAAGTTAGATGTCCTTCAAAGTTAAATACAAAGTGTCCTTTCAAGAAAGTCTTTCAACCTTCGTGTTCAATAAAGTGCATTCGTTGAATCGCTGTCTCCTTTCTTTGGATTCACAATGAAAAATTACTCTCCCGAATATCCAATCTCACAAAATAAGCGAAAAAATACATAGTGTAATATGTTTTAACTCCATTTGTGTGGTGAAATATTCATATATTGTGCTCACATTAGAATAATATGTGCAAACTTTTCATATACCACTTGTAAGCCGTGTACCGGGGTGGGCTCCCCAGGATACAGTGAAGTCACGAACGAGGAAAGCAACCCCAACAACACCAGCTTTTGCCACAACAGAATTTTGCTTAGATGTGGCAAATAAACACAACCACAAAATGCTGGAAACATACAATAAATTTACATACACCCAGCCCAAAGGCTAAGACTCTTGTGCTGCACAGCACGGCACCTTCTGATGGATGAAGGTAGAAAGTGAAGTAATTTACCTACCAGCGGGCACAAATAAGCTGCCACACCTTACCTGTTATTACCCTAAAAGAGCAGGAATCAGTGTATGGGTGTATGGTATGGGCTAGCCTGCGGTGCAGCACAACAGCTTACAATCTTACACAAATCTACAGTATTCCCTCTCCCATAACTGGTCCTGTAGCACGTGCCTGAGTATTCCTTCTGAGCAAAACGCCAGTCTGGCTTGAGTTTGTAGGATTTTATCAGCTCTCCAATGTGAAATGTCACTTTAAGTTGTGGAGTCCTTCCAATAATCAGTAACAACATTTGTGGCCTGACACAAACAGAGACCCTAACTAACTAACTATAGGCCTGGTCGCAGTCTATCAGTGCCAACACTGAAATGAGGTGCGTGCATGATCTTACCGACCCGGGTCTGCTTTGCATCCGCTGGTGACTCTGAACAGAACAAATGTCTCTCCAACAGGCCTGTGATATTGCAGTGTATGCTGTGTTGTACCTCTGCTCTCATCAGCTTCCTGGCAGAAATCTCATCAGCTTTCTGGGAGCAAACTCATCAGCTTCACCCAGCTGCAGCTCACATGGCCCCTTCATTCAGCATTCTCCAGAACATGGCTCCTGCATTCAGCATCGTCCAAAACAGGGCTGCAGTCTCCTCTTCCTGTTCACTAAAAACCCCAACTCTGTGTGAAAACCCCACCTCTTCATGAATATACAAATATCTATGCAGTCTAAGCCTGTGTTAGAAAAACAGTGACATCTTGTGGCTAAACCACAGAATGTCAGTCAAAACATCAATTTACCTCACACCATAATTTACTGCACACAAACAGTGTTCAAACAATGAGAGCTGTTTTGCCCATCTCACACACTCCCAAATCTTTCTCTCAAATTCTTATGTGTGATGTCTTTTCTGGGGAAGATCCTCGCACCTTGCTTCCAGGTGGGTGTCTGGAGCCCCAAAAATTAAATCAAAAGCAATTGTGCAACACTGTAATGTACAAAAGATAAATGTATGATAATCCCTACTACTCACATCAAGTGAGCTGTAGATGCACCTGTCCCTTTAAAACCCCTTCAATGTTCGACCACATTCAATGTGCTGAAATGTTCACGCCAAGCACCTTACCAAATCCCCTAATCTTGTAAATCCAATGAATCCTTTCAGCAACAAGTTTCCTTCTTACTTCTAATATGTGTATGCAAAATCTTCAAAAAAACAAAGCATACATATGGCATAATGCTGCTTTAAGAAATAGAATATATGTGTCCAAAGCACTCACATAAACATGCAGAACCAAATCTTTTTATAGACACCATGCAAAGTGTATCCAATGCTGCTATCCACCAACCGATCACTCCATGCACCTTACCAAACAGATCAGAAAATAAAAGATTTTCATTTAATTATCTTCACATCAAAGATCAATAGAGATTCCTCCACTCCTCAAACTGGCACGATTCTCCTGTGAAACATCAAATAGGATCCATAGTGCAACAATTTTCCGTATAAAAATAACCATTTATACATATGGAATTTTAACAGAAGTGTTAATAAGCCTGTAAACCTATCTCAAGGTGGCTGCGTGATGACGTCACTTCCAGCATCTGACATCACTTCAGATGCATCTTGTCCAATGGACTTCTTCCTAGGATGTCGGTTTTTCATCCTTCAAACGGGACACCCTTGTGAAAGGGGCCTAGAACGTTTTTTTCAGATGGCTGGGGTTAAAAAGTAGCTTAGTCATCAAAGTAAGGAGTGTTTAAAATCATGGAAAAAATGGAAACCTTGTACAAATGTTTATTAAATCTATTTTTAGGAAATAAATAATTCTTTAAATAAATAAATACTATTTTTTGTTTGGAGCACATGCTTCAGGTGATTGTAGCCGTATTACTGCATATTTTTAAAAAATGTATCATGGACAATACTTGTTTTTGTTTAGGGCATGCAAGCACAATATGATCCCTATTTTTTTTATTAGATAAGAAAAATAAGTGTCAACTTCATATGTACTAAGTATGTATGGCCTCAAAATCACGTGTTTGAACAACGGGAAAAATCTACGATACATTGTTAGTAAGTGACATTGAAAATCACTTTAGAGGTAAACCTAAGTGAGAGCCATGAAATGATTTTTTGACTTCTGAACTATAAAGAAACAAAATACCTGTGGTACACTCTATAACCCTGTGAGCTAGAATCAGTGAAGTCGAGGACCTATTCAGTGCCTATTTGGCTACCAGGGAGTGTAAAAAAAAAAAAGAGCCTACAAAGTAACCAATGTGTTGTATAAATGAAGTGTGGTGTTGTGGCTGAAAACATTGCAGAAAACTGTGCATAGTGGAACTTGTGAAACAGCACAACAGCCTGGCGGGTAAACACACTTGACCGAGGAACTCACACTAGTTAGAGCAGAGAGCCAGCAATGAGTAGGCCAGAGCTGGAAACATTGCCTGCCAAGGAGAGTGGAGTACGGCCTGGTCCAACCCAAAGGGGAGCTTGCTGAGTGGCAGCCGAAGGCCCTACGTTTTCCCTACTCCTCTGGAACCTCTCACTACTGCTAGTGCTGTCCCTGACAGATGGGTGTCCTGTCCCTGCAAAATGTGCACCGAAATCTGGGGGCAGAGACTTAAAAATGCTCTCTGTGATCCAAGATGGCTGCCAGGGTCACCTGGAATCAGCATAGCCAATTATAACCTTTATCCCAGGTGACCGAGGAATCATAGATAAGATAAGCCCAGCTTCTCTTGACTTCCCTTGACTCCCTTTGTTGTTCCAGGCAAATGGCATTGCTGTTCCAGACAAACAGCACCTGTAGTGGATAATGTAGACTGC